CTTTCTTCACAAGTTCAGGTGATGGTGGTGATGCTAAAAAATAAAAAAATATTTTTAAAGAAAGACATAAGAAATAATACTTAGTAAGAATATGTATAATACGCGTAATCAATGTTTCAATACCTTTTGGACAATTCTCAACTAATTTTAATATTTCCGGACTACCCATACACATCCCACGAACCTTAATAATCAGATAATCAATTATTAAAATAAAAAACCGTTCAATAAAATTTCAAGGAGTTTCTAAGACACGAGGTATTACTGGTTTAATGTCATCATTAACTACTGTATATATCGCTGCAATTATTAGAAAAAATCGAACTTGGACATACTTTTTCATAGCTATTGATTGGATTTACAATTTTTGGTCACCATACAGGAGTTATAGAAGCATAATGCAGAGATGGAACCGGTCCGCATTTTTGATAATCCGTACTAGGCCAGCTGTTCTACCGGTAAAGATCGGTCTACCGACAGACTGACGGGTAAGTGGGACCGATTCCATCTCTGACATAATATATAGTGCATCTAGTAGAATTTTACAAGGCACAATCATGAACTTCTGGTAAAATTAAGCTTAGGAAATTTTTTCTATCGAATGCCTCAGAAGTCTGCTCCTAAATCTCGTGGTTTGGAACTCTTTCGACCTTATATGTTGTAATTGTGGTATTTCAAGTAGCCTAACTTATGCAGTGTTTTTCTACTTGTTCGAATGAGATATTATTACTGTGAGTGAAAGAACACAAAAGTCAAACGGTCTGTTTGACGTGAAAATGTAATATCTCAATAAAAATCTGGTTTTTGTTCATTTCAGAGGTTTCTCGACATTCCAATTCCAAATTTAAGCCTGTTATGTGATTTTTCGATGGATTATCTGTTAAGGAGAAAATAGAAATTCAATTCTACGGTTGTATTAAATGACATTAAACTAAGATATAATGGAAGACAAAGACGAATTGAATTTTCTGTTCAAGTATCGTTTACTATTAAAAAGCAAAGACTTTATTTCGATCATTCTTTTCAAATAACTTTCTCACTTGTTGATGTGTTTTCTTTTCGTCATTAAAAAGTGCTTCAGATAGTTGTGATGTTGTTAAATCTTTCAAAAACTTCAAGGCATGCCACTCGAATCAAATTAATTTTTTTAGAAAGTAACACTATCACTATATTTATACGACGCTCTTATGCATGATTAAGACGATCATGCACTGCTATGCATGCATAACCCGTCGTCTAAACCGCACTTAATCACGAATAACGATTTGTGCATGATTACAATTATGCATGTATCAAACGTGCACAACTCTGTGCATACATAGTACTATGCATGCATATGTGTATGCGATTGCCGTCTAAACGCTTCGCTTATAGTATATGCAATCAAAACAAAGGCTCACGATCTGATTGAACTGGAATCTTTTATTTCAAACAATAACTCTCGCTCTTTCTTAAAAGAATTGTTGTGAAAAGAACATTTTTGTCTCATTTATTCGATTTTTAGCTGTTATAGACAATTGTCGTCTACCTCATTAAATAACTGCAATTGAAAGATTTAAATAAATTTTTTCAGATCTTTTTAAATATGAAATTGTTTTTGAATAAGAACAATATCAAAATGACTAGCAACAATAACACGACTACTATTGGGAATAAACGAACTGTTTGGTTAGATTCGGAAATGAGTCTGCTACTGTACTCTTATGAGACAATTGACTTGTGTCGCTTCATAAATGAATAGACAGCGAGAGGGTGTACTTATTAGAATGATCAATACACTACTCAGTCTTCCCTTTTGTACTTCAATTGAATGCTTGATTGCTGGATTATGCATGCATACACATTTAGACGGAACAAGTTGTGCATGCATACACTACTAATCATGATTAATGAAAAAGGACGTTTATACGTGTGCATGCACAACTCCCAATCAAGCACAACTTTAATCGTGAATAGACTCGTCGTCTAAACATAGCGTTAATTTCTCTTTCATGTTGAAATAATTTTGTTTGATTTGGATTGAATTCAAAAGAGACGTATATATTCTCGAAGAAATCTTTTTTCAAAAGTATTGAATTATTTGTCGGTGATAAAATTAATTTATCTGAGTTACTCATTTCTTATTTCAAATCAGACTTTGTCATGGAAATATAAAAACAAGATTTCATAAGCTATTCCATAAAAAATAAAATATATTTTGAACCACGCTGGTTAAACATTCGTTGACTAAACAGTTGATTTTCAAAATAAAGAAGCAACAAAATCAATCAACTTACTGTAGCTGCGTGATAAAATATGCTTTTGTTTCATAGGTCTGTTTCAAGAAAATTTGATAGAGAAAAGCATTTGTACTTAGCGATATGCACAACAATCAAGTTTTTATTAAAAATCTCATGTTAATCACGAATCTGTTGGGTTTGAAGATTTAGAACTTTTAGGTACGAAGCTTCTTGAAATATGCATAGATAAAAAAGCTTCTTTGAATGACACAAAGTGAAGTTTTCATTGTATCTAGTATTTATAAATACTAGTGAACGTCTAGCATTAACATTATTTTTTTTTCTAACGAAGAAACATAACAAGTATCAGACTGTTTGACTTCATACTTTGGCTATAAATAGGACTCTGTAAGACTAAGAGAATCCTAAAACGGTTCGGATCCAGCGACTTTTGATCAAGAATAACGACTGTTTCGTTAAACTTTCATTCTACCTGTAGGTATGTGCTTGAAAGATAAAATTACATGGTTTCGACTTGAAATTTTTCCTGAAGTTAGATACCATAATCTTTAGAATATACAGAAAGTTTCAGCTAAAATTTGTTCTGTTCTTGAGTTATTAAGTTTTCAAAATCTAGTCGCTTGCCATACACATGATCCAAAAATTTAGTTCACTGAAAAAATGCAATAACTCAAGAATAGAACATTAATTTTGAGTGAAACTCTCAGGATATTCTTAGGATCATTACATCTAACTTTAGATGAAATTTTGAATTGAAACTATGTAATTTCATCTTCTTGCAGGTACCTACGCATAGGATGACAGTTTAGTGAAACGGCCATAACTCGTCACCAAAAGCCTATGGAACCGAATCCTTTAGGGATTTTCTTACTCTCACTAGGTCCTATTCATAGCCAAAATATGGAGTCGAACGGCGTTTGGCAGTTGAATAGGTTTCTTTGTAAGTTCAATGCCAACAAAAGCTGATAATCAGATTATGGGCATTAATTTTGTTCATAATTTATTTTCATCAAATAGATAATTTCAACGACAAGCAGCTTTTCAGAGAATAAAAAGAGAAAAACAAAAATATGATTGAGAAAGAATATGAAATCTTTTTGTGCGAGTCCAATTGATAATTTCGTGTGTTCTCCAAAAGTAACAAAGCAAAATGTTTTATTAGAAATATCGACCAGATAAATCGACAAGATGACTTATTTTGGTACTTGTTTGTTGTCGTTCCAGAAAAAATTTTTCAATATTATCTTACCTTTCATCTTTTTTATCTCATTATCAATTCTATGACGCCCCTTATATTATTGAATTGTTTCACCCTCATTCCAAAAAATAAAAAAATTTTCTTGGGCGATAACAAACCAGTACCCTTCTTTTTGATATTTCTAAGCTTAATCGAACAATATCTTTATCTTTTAGACATTGATAATATGAAAAGAAAGAGTTTCTACTATTTTGACCTAACTCTTTTGCGGAAAAGGCTGAGGACAAAACAGAACATCTTTTAAGATACGGATTATTAACTTCGTGCGAGTACTCCTTTTATTAATTTCAGAAGCTGATATTATCCTAAATTTATTATATGTATCTTGAAAATAATAAAGGCTTTTCGTTTTCGATGTTTCGTTCTGAACGATCTGTTTTTTCTATATCTTTTTCGTTCTTTCGTCTTATTCTTCTGCTTCACATGAATATGTTCATATATGCTTATACACATATTATGTGTACAGCTGATCAAGAAAGAAAAAATAATGTTGTGCTGTTCAGGATGTTAATGATCCTCAATTAGTAATTCAAAAAAATAAAAATCGAAAACAAATTTGAATATAAAATATTCTTTTGAATGAGAGAAATAGTTTCAAGTAATATAACTTTATTTTCAAACGCATATTTGAAATGTACTCCAATTTCCAAAATGATGTACACACTTTTAAATCTAAATAATTGTTTCAGTTGATCAACAAATACTGATGTCTCGTTTTTCATTGTGATCGCTAAGATAGGATCAAAAATAGATTTGATCGAAATGATCACGATCAGTATTATTTTGTGTTCCTATCGATTGTCATTATTATTGTATGATATCAGATTTTAGTGAAGAAAATACATTGTGAGCTTGATTGAAATCATAGTTTAAATTGTAGGATGACGATCGAAACTATTATTTGTACAAGATCAAAAAAATAAACACATGCTTGTTTTTGACTTACAAATTCATTCTCTATGACACAATCTCACTTCTACTTAATTCTTCTGAATTTATTTGTGAACAAAAGAAGAAAATTAAAAAATGCTCAAAGCATACAATTATTTTCAATTCAATAATAATCAATATACATTTGTCACGATATATTTTCTTGTTGATCTACTACTTTACGTTTTATTTCAGTTAGTTGCTTGTCAGAAAGTTGTAGATATATGTGACCATTTTGACTCTTAAGAAACTATGAAGGACAAATACATATATGCAATATAGAGCGAAAAAAATCCATTAAAAAATTATATTCGTTTAAGATATGTAAAACACAAATCTAAAGAAAATATATTGATGAATGTATGAAATGTATCTATTCCTATTAGAATATCCCTTGTAAGTATTACTGCCATCTTTTGAATACCGTATGTTTTGGATTTGTTCAAAACTTTTCACCAATGTGAAACGAGAGAAAAAAGGAGAAAAGATAGGTAGAAGCAATTGCAATTGAGTTAAATTCAATATTTTTTGCCTAAAATATAAATTTTGTTCGTTTTGAATTTACTAAATAAATGGATGAAACAAAAAATACCCCTGAAAAGTCATCTACTCTATTATCTAATAATAAAAATCGTGATTTCAACGCAACTATATCAGTTGTATGTCATATTTTTTTGTCATTAAATTAATATATATGGCTCTATCGTTTAGCAGAATTCTCAGCTCAATGCTGAATCCACATTTATATCTAATGAAAGTTCTGAATTACCGAAAAATTTCATTGAAATTCAAAACGAATATTCCACACTGAGTAATACGGTAAAATATAATTCTATATCTGTATTAAATAATATCGTCAATGCTATTATACTTTAGTTTGATGATATAAATACTTCTATGTCTAGAGTATCTATACATGATACAAGGCCAACATGTCGTTCAAATGCAAATCACTTCCGTCTACATCCAAGTAATTCATATCATCAACCAGTACGCCCAACAGTCTACAACCGTCCAAGACCTATTCTACATCAACCTGAAACTCAAGCACAATTAGTTGCTTTCACTCAACCATTGATGTCGATTCGACTACCTCATCAAGAATATCCAACATGTGAACAGAATTATTATCCATCATCAAGACCTTACACGCCAAATCAATCACATGAACAATCAGCTGTATCTATGAAATATAAATCAGAAACGACAACAAAACAACCTGAATACTATGTAGACAGTTTCCCATCGAATTTTTCTGATTCATCATCTTCAAGTAGTAATAATAAATCAAGAACAAAACATGTGACTTTTAAAGAGCCAGAAATGGTCAAGTCAGTAACCGTCTTTGTTCTAAATGACTAACTTAATTGTTATATGTTTTTAGTAATACATTAACAGCGAATCCGAATCATAGCACTTATCCAGCACCACCGACTCATATTTATCCACCTTCACGTTCATCTCATCGATACGGTAATCCTTCAATGTACAATCCATTTTATGCACAACACTCTAATACGATGATGAATTCACGAATGATGACGCAGTCTCGTGGAGTCAATATGATGTCGACGCCTCACGTATGGACGTAAGCAACTTTTAGAGTCAATTATTTCTTTACTTATCATGCAATAATATATTCCATAAGTTAAAGGCATAATATAGTACCCGAGTGAGCGTGATAACTTTGACACGAATATATATATATATATATTTTTTTTTATACAAACACAATACTTAAATTCTACATCTAAAAACTATTTTAGGCCACGATCATATTATTTGAATCCGCAAACATCCTATGCTCAGTATCGCTTTCAATCAAAACAGCTCTATGATCCAAATAAACCAAAAACAACACCAACACTATCTGAATATCATAATTCACCAAAAGTAATCCGTACAATCGAACCAAAAGAAAAGAAAAGAACAAAACCAACTAATGACATTGATAACTCGTCTGTACCAACGTCTAATCCTATTCCACATCAAATAACTATTCTACGGAAACCGAGTACTGATCCTGAAGTTTGTACATCATCTATTCCTATGATTCCAATGCCTGTTGAAGATCGGCCTATCCTCTCACTCGAAGAAAAAGTTATTTCATCTGAAAAAGAGCAAATAATTTCTTCATCGATTGAAAATGCCACCGATACTACAACTACAACTGACAAAAAACAACTAATATCTTCATCTGTTAACAGTTCATTAGATGTGATAGTCAAAGAAGAGCAGATACAAACACAATTTATGTCAAACACTAATACATTATTTTCAAGTCATGAACTTCTATCTATTTTACAAAGTGCAAATTGCTTATCTTCTTTAAATGAATACGCACAACAGAAGAAATTTACAATAGCCTATGAATTTTCTACTATTTTACCATCATCGTTTACATGTATAATTTCAATTGATACTCGTTCATTTCCATCTGCAATCCAGTGTACATCTAAGAATGAAGCTCAAAAATTAGCATGTGATCAAGCTCTACGTATTCTATATCGTGAGTCATGCAAAAACGAACAATGTTCCCTTGAATTTTCTCATAAACATGATTATATCGCGCATCGATCTATATCGGCATTTCAGGAATTAAACATCAATGAATTGTTACTTGGTCGAAAAACTCTTGCATGCATGTTGATGATAACTGATGGACAATATGAACAAGCACGTGTCATTAGTATTGCTACAGGAAATTCTTGTCTTGATGAAACAAATCTTAATTATGCTGACGATGGAACAACATTACATGATTGCCATGCTGAAATACTTGTACGGCGTGGTCTTATTAGATTTTTATTCGAACAAATTAAACAATCAAAAGATAATAATAAATCCTCTATTTTTGCATATAATTCAACGAGTAATAAATATGAACTTCATGAAAATATAACATTTCATATGTTTATATCATCGTTACCATGTGGTAATGCTTCTTTTAATATGTCATCGAATTCTCTACGTTATAAACAAGGTACAAAGGAAGGTACGATACTGGGTTCAACAAGTTCAAGCAAATATTCAATAAAATCATGTAGTGATAAAATCTATCGATGGAATATCTTAGGTATTCAAGGTGGTCTCCTAATCAATATTCTTACGAAACCAATATATCTTGATACAATAACATTAGCATGTGAAACAACATTCGATCGTAATTATGTAAAATATTCATTATGTCAACGTTTAAGTGAACATCTAAATTCATTACCATCTCCATATGTATGTAATTTACCTGATATTGATTGTCCGAAAACAAAATCATTTCAACAAGAAAGACAAGTAGCTAAACTTCAAACAAGCGCATTTGCATGGAATCTTACAGTACCTGATACAATGGAATTATTAGAACCTATGACTGGAAGATTGAAGTAAGATTTATATACGTTTTTACTGTTTAAATAGATTCAATTCATAGAATACAATTGAGAGATTATCCTAAGTAAAAATAGATTTTTCTACTGATCACGGCGACGTAGAGTATTCAATCTCGACTTTGCTAGAAATAAAATCGACTAGTCCTATTGTGATCCTTCGCCTCTGGCAATATTCTATGCATGAGTTATCGTTGAATACTTTCCAATGTAACTCAAGCAAGTAAATATATTATTCGATATCATCTATCGAAGATGACGTTGTGCCTTTTTTGTTTTGTTTATGGATTAGAAATTGAATTTGACAATAACTTAGCTACATATTCTATAATATTTTGTCTTTCTATTTAGAAACGATCGATCAATGTCTTTATTAAGTAAGCGAAATCTTTTTGAAGATTTTACAAATTTTATTCAAGCAAATTTTCGTAACGACAATTCTTTATCGTACAAAACTTATCAACAAGCTAAACAATTAAATAAAACTTATGTTAAAGTAAAAGATCTTATTTCAACAGTTTTTCAAACTGAATCATCGGATACCAGTATACCATGGTTAAGTAAAAGTGATCAACTCGAACAATTTTCAATGGAATAATTTCGAAAACGAAAACATTTCATGCATTGTTTTTTTTTCTTTATTGATTTATTTTAAATTATTTCTTCGTTATATGCGTGCTTGATTTTTTTTTCGCTCTTTTAAACGAATATTGTTTTCTTTTCTTCATCATATAGCTTTTCTCTTTTGTAGATGATTCGAACGTTGATTCGACCATTACAATCTGCCCGTATTATTCAAATTCCTATTCGGGTAAACAAAATAATTTATTTCATAGACTTCATCATTTCTATCGCTTTTTCTCCAGACAACTGTTATTGTCGAACGTGTACATCCATTGACAAAATTGCGTCCATGGGAAAATATATATGATTATAGTAAATACAAATATACCGATTTTCAATATCGTATCGTTCGCGATACAGACACAGAAAAATGGGGAAATATCGATGTAATACTAGCAGAATATGTCGAAGGTAAAAACAAGAGAAAAAAAATGATTTTAACGATTTAATAATGAGTATTGACGTATGAATAGGTGTTGGCTATAAAGGTGAAATAGTTAATGTTCCACGTGAAGTAGCTTATAGAGAATTATTACCAGCACAATTAGCACTTTATCCAACAACGGAAAATATTGCATTGTTCGCAGAAGAAAGAAAATTACTTGTCGATCGACCACAAATATCACCGTTTGTTATGAAATGTCGTGATTACTTAAAATCGATTCTATTACAAATACCAATGAATCTTAAATTGAAAGATTGGTCAGTTACAAGAGATAATATTCGTATTGCACTTCGACGTATTGTATGTTGTTGGCATTTGTTTTATTTGAAATTAATTTCGCTTTGAAATATTTAGAATGTTATGTGTGATGAAGACGCTATTATGTTAGAAGAAAATGCTGTCAATCAAGATACATATAAATTAGGAGAAGAATTTAATGTTGTTCTTAAAGTAAAATTTAATGCAATTCTATTTTGATGATATAATAGCATTTTCATGTTTTTAGATCAATCCACTCGTTGATGTATCTATAAAATGTGTCATTGTTCCTGTTGATAAGGCAAAATTATGGGATGAATATCAGTTATCAAAACGAAAACCTAAAGCATAGCGTTCTTATATTTTATGTTTTCTTTAGTAGGCAATGGAGTTTTGTTTTCAAAAACAGAAATAAAAAGCAAGATAAAAGGTTAATGTTTTTGTGATTTGAAAAAAAAGTAGTAAATTGTTTTTCGAATATCATATTAAATAAATCTGAGAGGAAAACACAGCCTCGTTTGCAAATACGAAATCATTTGTTATTCTTAATCTTAGACCTACAGAACATCTTTGTTTGAGTATACCATAGTAGAAACTTGAATGTGAACATAATTCTTTCTGCAGTTCCAAAAAGTTAAGAAGTCATAGTCAAATATAAGTTTTCCAATTCTTTCATTACCCGATCCGTTGTCGTAAGAGAAACCGACTAGTTTGGATGCTTTGTTCCGTGTTATATTAATTCGCTAGTCTTTCAAGATCATGACGGTAAAATGGCTTGGCATTACAGTATAGTAATTTATTTATACTGAACATATGTTAGTATCTTTTCGGAATGTATACCATGGTCATCTAAGCTTCTCTCAATCTCAAGCAATATACACATAACAAATAGTTTAAGCTATGGAAATTCAGGAACCAGTGATTATTTCAAGCATCTCACATTTTTACTCTCTAAAATGATACACGATGTTGGAGGTTTTACAGTATCTAAAAATATTTCTTAAATTTATCTATTTTTGATATCTGTATGTATTATGTCATTTTGTTTGTGATGAGCAGAAAAATAAATATCCAAGTCAATACATTTTAAACTTTAACCATTTTCTTTACAAGTACTGATCAAAGTATGAAAGTAAATCATTTGATATTTAAATATAGATCATATTAGATTAAACATGAATTAACTATTTAAATATTGATTTAGACAATTATTAATACGATAGTCGAACTTTATGTATCATGTGATATCCTGAAAATCTTTCGTGATCTTAATTTTAATAAATTTGATCGCCATAGTTCGCGGTCACCATTAAAAAGAAAAACCATAAATCGACTGCAAGACAAAGAAAAATCGGATTCTACAATTCACAGATAAAATTTATATATACAATGGTTTGCAAAAACACTTGGAACGATCTCACAACATAAAGATTTTATGTTTTCTAGATTATCTTGAGCCTTTGCTTTGCGGTTGTTGTAGATTTACACTAAGTAGATTATCTACGAAAAATATTTCATATATTTGATTGGTTTCTATTTTATAGTTCTGTAATAATAACCGGATGTAGCCAAGACAATCAGTCTAAAATCATATCAAATTTTCTGATTACATTATTGGAACATCAGAATTTGTTCTAATAAGAAAATCTACTGATGTGCAAAGATAACATTGCCTAGAATTAGATACCAAATTAAAAATCTCAGAACTCAATGTTTTCGGGAATATTGAGCAACTAGTGGTCGAAAAAAGTGTGATTAATACCAAATACAGCTAAAAATTAGGTCCATTTATTCGAGAAAATAATGAAGTACTTTACAATAATTGACTGAAAAATGACGCGAACAATGTAAATTAACGGTTTCCACGAGCTCCATCTCGCGCCATTTGAATCGCCTAAAAGATGAACATTGAAAAACTTTATAATCAAAATTGACTAACAGAAAAAAGATAGATGTACCTTGGTTATTGAAAAGAAAGTAGAATGAATCAAATATTGGATCAGATATTCTGAGACTGTCAATATAGAAACATTTTTTTGAAAGCAGCTAAAAAAGGCGTTAATATACACTAAAGATTCGTTCCAAGTCTTTTTGCAAACCATTGTATATATATATATTGTGAAATATTTGTTGCATTTATTGATTTGTATATGATACTACATTCTAATTTAATGAAAGAAGCTACTAAAATATGAATTTTTTTCAACACATTTTCCTGCAGTACAAAAATAATAGCCCTGACATGTTAATATGCCTCTATGTATCAGTATTTCTTTGAATAATTTTTCATCAACATTCCTCAAATACTCGATAATATGGACAATTTACATTATAACCTTCAAGTAAATCGTTTGGGTAATTAGAATCAACAAGTTTTTCTATGTCTGTCAATTGATTGATGAGACATTTAGGCAACGCAAATCTAACGGAATATATCTATATCTATATATTATCGTTGATGAGTTCTTCAGTTTTAGCATATGATATTTATCAGGCATAGATGACTGGAAAGTAGTTTTGCTAAATATCATTTTTACAGCAAAATTATTCATTGAAAAATTTAAAATTCGCAAACATTATCATACTAAGATCGAAATAAAAAATTAATCTTAAGTTTTCTTCATCAATACAAAAATAGACATGTCAACTCGTTTGATCTATATTGTACTAATGATCTGAAAACTACTAACAGATGTTCTCTCCATGTCAAATCAAGGAGAGACGGCATTAATTAAGTATACTGTTCAAGTCAATATACTAAAGCGGATGGGATACAATTTAATTTAAATCGATCAGAAATTCATTTCTACTAAAAACAATGTAGCTTTTACATTTGCTTAAAATCGATTAGAATGAAATTTTCTTATCAGTATCGTGTGATAAAACACACAATGAAATTTACAATGCAAAAAATGTTGACCCGATGAAAGAAAATTATTACGGGACATAATGAAATAGAGCTGTTTCATGAAGATATCACTATATGAAGAATGTCAGATGATCAACAGAAACTATTTTAGATAACATTAATTGTCTCCCATTTGAGAGCCAGTCGGTGAGTCTCTCAAAATTGAAATATATTTTCTCCTCGAATAATTTTTGAAAGGAAATGCACTCATGTCAAAAATATATATAGTTTTACGCTAAATTCGATTTTTGAATTCAAATTGAATTTCAACACGATTTTCGTAAGTACGCCAAGAAAGTGGAAGAATGAAAATTATGTTTGATCTAAGTTTGGACTCATCTGTAGTACATTTTTTGTTTTGCTATATATTCTGATGTTTGACAATTTTTTGATTGCGTCACAGTTATTTATTGGACTGACGCAGCTTAGAGCAAATAGATAGATAAACATTTTTATCTTCTTGTAATAGATTTCAAAGACTAGAAAAGAAAATTTTTTCTAGATAAAGATATCCTATTTAGCATATTTTAGAATTGAAATAAGAATAATTTACTGATGTAATCGTCTTCCGGAATGCACAGAATTCATTGAAATCAGAATATCAATATCATAATTGTAATATTTTGAGACGTAACATACAGCGTAAAATCGTTAATGTGAGATGAATAAAAACAAAGTTGTTCTAAAAGTTCTCATATTGACCTAATAATTGTACTTGTATAGAACGACATCAAATCTTCTGCAAAAAGGCGACTGTTTTTTCTGAATGTTATTTGCGAGAAAATAACATCTGTATGAATTCTCCGATGCAAAATCTGTTGTTTTGTTTTCTAGTAAAAAGAGTATATGACCAATGTATCATCTGTTTTATCTATAACCAACTGTTTTAAAAATGAATACACAGAGGCGTAAAGTGATGATTATCTTTTTTTTTTGTTGCGCTTTCTGTTATCTGCAATCCTTATTCATGATCTTCTCGCAATGCTACTTGAAAATAAAAACCGTCATCATTTTCGACGTAACCAGCAACAAATATCATGCAAGTAACTTCACAAAACACAGACTCTATTAATTTAAAAGGATTTAATTCCGCTCCATTAACTGAAAGTGATTATTATATTGCCGATTACTTTGCGGGCGAAGACAAAATGCGAAATAGAACCTGTACAAGTGTTCGTCGCAGTTCATTTCGTCATAGTTCAGCAACATCAGGTATACAAAGTGTAGAACTGCACTCATTTCAACATGTTATACCATCAGTAATCATCTATGATCGAGATTCAGTGGAAGAAAAATATTATGAATCTTTAGAAAACATCCCTACAATAAAAAATGGCGCATGCATGTGGATTAATGTTACTGGTGTAAGCTGATAGTTTTGTTTGGAAGTAAAAATGTTTGCATGTATTTAGGTACATGATAAAATTTTACTATCAAATATTAGCCGACAATTTAAGATTCACCCTCTCGTTGTGCTAGACATTGAAACCAATGAACAACGTACAAAATTAGATATTATTGACGATGCTTTATTTTTAGTTGTTAAATTAATCTATCCTGATCAAATTTCAAGAAAGCCGCGCATCGAACAAATTAGTTTCTATGTAAAAGAGAATACACTGATAACGTTTCAACAGAGTCCAAACGATATTTTTGATCGTATTAAAAGTGAGTAAAATATTCACGCATTTCTTATTATACATTTTAAATATCTAGATCGAATTCGTCAAAATAAAGGTCGTATTCGAAGATCAAAAATTGATTATTTATTTTACTCACTAGTTGATGCGATCGTCGATCAATATATGGATGTACTGGATATTGCAAATACAAAACTGGAAGCTATAGATCATCAATTAATGCAAAATTTATCGCGTGATACTCTCGAAACGATTTATGATCTTAAACGTGATATGCTTGATTACCGTCGTTTAACATCACCATTGAAAGAAATTATCAATCGACTACAAAAAGAAGAAGAAACACAAATTATACAAGAAAGTACAATTATTTATTTGAAAGATCTCTATGATCATGTTGTACAAGTCACCGATACGATTGACACATACCGCGAAATGCTTGCTTCGTTTATTGATTTTTACATGATGTTAAATTCTAATGCAATGAATGAAGTTGTTAAAACATTGACTATGATTTCTACTATATTTATTCCTCTAACATTTATAGCTGGTTTATATGGGATGAATTTTGATAATATGCCTGAAATACATTGGAAACATGGATATTTCGTCTCACTTGGTCTGATGATATTCATAGCACTTTGTATGTTGTTTTATTTTAAAAGAAAACGATGGTTTTAATTTGAAATAGTAAAAAATTGTTTCATGTATATATGTAATTTCGAAGATTTTTCTGTGTACATACACATACAAGATACTAAGAAAAATAAATAATATAAACAACATGAAATTGTTTTCACATATATTCGAACTAACTATTCCAAACCAGAAAGAAACAGTAAGATGAACTCAAGCTTTGATTGAATGTGTTATAATATCATTGAAATATTCAACAGATAGAATCAATTTTTCTTTGTGATAAGATGTAATTCAGAATCGCTTACTTCATTATATTTGTAGTAAACAATAAGTAACAATTTATATGTCAATGACTGGCTAATACATATATCTTCATAGCTGTATCAAAATAGAGACCAAATAACGCGTAATTATTGTTTCATTTTTCAAGAAAAAATGATATACGTATATATTAGATTGTATATCAATGCGTCTGGAATATGGTTTGCAAACAGATATGCAGCTGACTCTCGTACAAGAGCTCTCTTCTTTTTTTAAAGTTAAGTCACTCTGACTTATTATTATTATTATTATTATTATTATCAGCTTTGAAACGAACCGTTAACAAGGACAAGTCAGATCGACAATAATTATCTAGTTACTAATAGAGCTGCATACTATACGTTTACTGTAGACTTATTGATTGCTATAATTCGATGGCCAACACATGGAAAGGATTATGAAAATATTTATCATTTATCTTATGTTTAGGTTTATATTTAAGAAGAAAAGCAAGTAAACTTATTGTGGAATTTTGTTCTATAACATGTTTATTTGTCATCTAGTTTTTTCTAATCAATAAAAACTACGCGTCTAAAACTAAATAAAAGGATACAATACAATACACACACACACATAACATATCGGGATGTTTATGGTTAGTCGTTGCAGATGACAATTAAGGCCAAAATGATAGTAACATTTAAAGAAAGCATAGACAACAATTGGAGACATGATTTGGATCATCAGTTTTAATATAATCATAGAAAAGCATTTTAGCTTTACTTTCTTGAAGTTTATCGCCATCAGCAATTGATGTAAATGATTTATCGGCTTCATCTTTATCAACACCGAAGAATGTGCACATTTTTACCCATTCATCACGTGCGATATGACCATCGTGGTTAAGGTCGAGCATACTGAATGTTGTATTGATTCGTCGAGTTAATTGTTCTAATAATTCAGGATGAGTACCTGGCTTACGTAATTCTGCAGCAAGACGTCGGTGAAAGTCAAGCCATTCTTCTGTAAACATAGAATAGAAACAATAGATAGTCTATTAGACTTTGTTGATTGAAAATCAAATTTACCTCGTGTTACTTTTCCATCATTGTTTGCATCAGCTCTCATGATTTCTTCGCAAAGAAGTTTTCGAGCGCCAGCATAGTTTTCACGTTTCGATGAATCGCCTTGTCCGACAAGTACTGAAAGTTTGTCAGCGAGAATTTCGAAATCAACTGGTGTGATTGATCCATCTCTATCAACATCTTAAAATAAAACGAACAAAAAAAGAAACAAGAGAAAATATTTTATTCCTAATTGAATTATTTGATTATTTACCATAAAGATGAAAGAGACGTGTCATTTTTTCATTCCAGAATTCGCTTGAAGCTGTAGCCTAAATGAAATTCATGATAGATCTAATCCATACATATCTTTCTTATGGCTTACCATTGTAGTTTTCAATGATGGAAGAAAGAAAGTATGCTAAAAGAAAGAACTAGATCAGCCTTATTTATAGTCGGCTAGCAAATGTGGAAAAATAAAGGTCTTATTGTTCTTCTATCATTAATTGTTGTTGTTCTATCTGTCGGAAAGATTGAAGAATTATTAAGAAGCGAGTTAAGGCGGAGAAAAACTTCGTGGCCTTTTGTCGATATTTTATTATGTTATTGATTTATGGAATATCAATATCAAAATGTATCTTATTCTAATGATTTGCTCTATGATAAGTTAATTTTCTTTTTTTTTTATAAATAAATTTATATAAATAAGATTTGAAATCTATTATTATTTACAAACAATTACAAAAATGGAAACAATATATATTTTATTTTCTTTTTTCACATCTGTGACAATAAACATTTTCATGCTTCCAAAGTATACAAATGCCCTTTGCGATAAGGTAATCAACAGATAATCTGTAAAAGCAATTGTCCTAAAAGATTAGTGCTAATACGGATCATTTCACAAAAAAAAACTTTTTCTTTTAGATATTTATTTCCAAAAAATCATTTCTTCTGATTTGTCAATCATTTTTCTTGTTTAATAAAAATATTTTAATTTTCATAGGAAATTAATTCAATCGAATACTAGTTTTATAATAGCACTCAACGATACGAAATCGTTTTCAAAATCTCTACTGCGTTCAAACAGTAACAATTACATATAACTAAATGAGTTGCTTCTCTCTAAAGCAACGTCTCGGATATTCTTTTAGAATAAAAAGTAAAAGATCCTTTCGTTCGTTGGCTGCCTCAAATTGATAGAAGACAATCCTCGTCATTTTTTTATGGTTACATGTTGACATTCATATCTAGATTTCTCTCTGCAATTAACGTCTCCATGTTATCGTAATCATCACGTACAATAGACGATGGCAACTCTCACGAACATGTTATCTAGATGTCGGTTAATCAGATTAGGGTATAAAGTGTATGAGAAAACTCGTCGAAAAGCCTCATCAAATAATTTCTTTCTCAACATTTATTTAAATCAATCATTTATGATAAAATTTATTGAACAAATAGTATAGCTGTATCTTTGGGAGGGGAGATTTTTCAGAAGCAAAGTTTCAAAGCATTGCTCACATTGAGCACTAAAACCATAGAGATTCATGCTTATTGTTTTGCAAATCTCGAAACTGATGTCATCAGAGAAATGAAGGATACAGAGCGTATTCTGTTATCATCTGCAGATTATAAAATCGATAAATTTTTTATTTCGTACTTGTATCTCATTTACCATATGTATATAAAAAAGAACTGCATCAATTAATCATTTTCCTGTACTTCATCAGAACTGTATGTTATAAAAGACGTTTGCTATTGATAATAATAAAAAGAAGATATTCTTCTTTCTTTTTTAAATCAATACTAAAAAAAAAGAAGATTTAATGATGGATTGGATGAATTGATAAATTTAGCGTTTCGAATAGTTCAAAGTTCGAACAGAAATATATAAACGAAAAATTTAATGAAAGAGAATAGCGTTCCTTTTTTGTGATATCCAAAAGTTTGTTGAAGTTTACTTCAATTTTTCTTTTCATACTATTAATATATTCATAAATCAATTTAAAAACTAATGTATAGGTCAAAGACATGATCAAGAATATCATAAATACGCTTATTATCAATTATGGTATGGGCTGTAGAAATCAACAAAATAAATTGACAGCTGCCGTAAAGAGTTTATTCTTACCAAAACGCTAATAATCATCTTGATTATTTTGGGGAATTTTATCAACGTGACCCGTGTCGTTATAACCACCGAAACCTTTATGAGTAATGCAATTATTTGAAAAACAGTAAAATGAAACTATCTTTATTTCGGAAAGCAAAATAAAGAAAGAAATTTCATGGCATGGTATCCAGAATGGAATATTAACATCCCAATAATTCTAAACGAATACTAAAAGAAGGCATGACTAATCAGTTGTTTTGTATAATGCGTCCAATATATTATTACAGAGATAATTTTAATCTCTCCTAACTTCGATGGTAAGTATATTGTTTTTAAGAATATAAATAGTACAATTTTTAGTTAGATTGATTTTCGAGGGCTATGACATGGAAAGTATTAGTTCCGAAAGTAGATTAATACTTTTCTTTGTGACTCGGTCATCTTCAACTACAATAGTAACTATTGGTCGGCTTGTCCACGTAACGCACTACTTCGCTGGCCAAGTTTTAAAAATTGTTTTTCGATATAGACAGATCTAAACATATTCTCTGGTATAGTTTTTTACGCTGATTGTGAATTTGAACTTTTTTTTCTTAAAACAAATTGGGTTTTGGCTTCGAAAATCGGACTTTAAAGTTTTTAAAAACTGTATTTTCAATTTTCTAACCAAGAAATTTAAAACAAAAAATGCAGACTAATATATCATTCGATGCAGAATTTAATTCTCTACAAAATGGCCTATTAATTTTTTACTCTCATTCTTCAGGACAACTTCTATTCTCGTGCACAATTTCTAACTTACTATACAATTATTGAGCTCGTATTTCGATGTAGCAACTTGATTTTCTTACAGAAGGATATATGCAGGACAGTGATCAATATATATAAACATTAAATATTTTTAAGTATGTTAAATGCCTCAAATTTGGTCCGCAAAAAATCGTGTCACAGCTGTGACACGATTTTTTGCATTTTTAATCTGAGCGAAAATAGGCTAGAAAAAATATTTTTTACTGCTTGAAAGCTCATTCAATTCTCTACAAAACTGGTACCATAAGCATTCAATTTGAAGAAATGATTTGTCAAAAAATTAGAGCTTTATAAGCAGCCCTAGAAAAAAGGGTCCTTTTTTGTCAGTGTCACGCGATGATAAAATCTTTCTAGAAGCGCGAGAGTTCAATTAAACTAGGCCACTATTTCAAAATTCATAGAGTATGACAAACTGCGTCGAATGACGTTTGAATGACCTTATTAGATCTTATCCCTTTCAAGATAATTCCAAAACAATTTGTCAACATATCACAGCGTTACGTTTGGACAAGCCGCGGTACAATATTAAGAACTAAATGTTCTTCTCCGGCATTGAGTATAATTGCAACAATGTTTTCATTAGTAAGCCTCATTTTGTAAGAGTTGTGACATTTTTCATGCAGATCGATTGCAATAACAGACTCATTAGTCAATATCATTTTACAACCTAAATTATATCTTTCTGTTTTTACACTACTATATGACAATCGTATAAAAAAACCCACGTCATACGCAAAACTTTATTATAATCGTAATTCTTGTATTCGTTTCCCAATAATAATCCTCGCTGTATTCATGATGTGACTTCTCTTGGAATAGTTTCTTGATGGATTAAATGGTGGCATTTTTATGATCAATGCAATCGTGTTATTCACTCATTCATTTCTTTTAAATTATTATATATTAATCACTATGTATTATGAAAAGGTTCAGCTATGACGATATGATGTCAACATTAGTGGTCCTAATAATTGTGACATGAATTTAAGAATACGAAACAACTTGAATCATATTCTTTCTATGCATCCGTATCGGATAAATATACAATAGAAAAATAATTCTAGTTATTCGATCTATAATTATTCGTAAACGATTTGAGAAAAAAAGAATCATGTATTCATTTTATTATTTACATTTGCCATCGAGACCCGTAGCTAAATCAACAGAACATTGTATATTCAAACTCTGGTACACTATTATATAATCACAACAAAATACTCATTATTCTATCTAATAAAATAAAAGACAAATTAAAGTAGGGAACCTAACTCGGTAATTTTTTCATCTGTGACTATATTATCTATTTGAAATTGTATCGTCAAGAATTCTCTACTCATTTTTAACTGAGATTTCCAACAACGTTAACAGATAGTTTCGGTAATTAAGCATTATTTCCTCTTTGATATACTACATGAGTTATCGAAGTAATTAATCATAAAACATGGTCATACGTGACATGAGAGTATCATTCTTTAACGACGACAACATGCAACAAAAAGATATTTACAAAAGAAACTATGAGCTCAGGCCATGTTTCCTCTTATAACATTTTCAGATTGTATTTATGAGCTATGTAAGCATGCAGCTAGAACTCAAACGAATTGTGCATTCTCAAAAACACGATAACATTTTAAGAAAATCAAACAAATTCGGATATCTCTAGATGCTTGCGTATTCGCAAGCTGTTTACGTATCCGTTCAGCTTACATCTACCAATCATTGATTATTAAGACAAGGCAGAGAGCCGTACACGTACTTATACATTCATTCTATCGAAGAGTGATTTCTCGTGCACAATATATTATAAGAGTTCCTTAAAAAATAAAACAAATTTTCTCAAGAATTCAAACGGCGAGCTATCTCTTTGTAGACTTCTATTGAGATGTTTAAAAATAATTAAATTGTCATACATATGGATAGACATTACTCTTAAATGATAATTTCTTTATTTAGACAAAAAAAATAAACATGCGCTTGTAATAGAGATATTTACATAGCGACACAAATAATGAAAAAAAAATCCTTATGATTATATTTAATCTGAATCGTCTTCAACTTGTTCTGAACTTTTTGGTGCTTTCTTCTTGGGTGATTCTTTTGGTTTACTTTTTTTCTTTGAATCATCTGATTTCTTCTTTGGATTATCAGATTTTTTCTTTGTATCGCCAGATGTTTTCTTTTTATCATCCTGCTTTTTATTTGAAGTAGCAGATGATGATTCAGATTTTTTGCGTTTCTTTGGTGATGATGGACTTTTATTTCCGTCTTCGTCTTCGTCTTCCGTTGAATGTATTGATGCATTACTATCATATTCGAGTTCATCGTCGTCTTCTTCATCGCCTGAAATATATATTTATTTTCGATACAAAAAACTAGATTTAAAAAAGGATTTATATTTCACCTTGAAAATCTTCATCTTCTTCTTCGTCATCACTTTCATCCTATAAATTAAGTATATAGAG